AAAAAAAAAAAAAAAAAAAAAAAAAAAAAGAAAAGCAACAGTTGTGAAGTCAATGGCTAAAGTTTAGGGCTCTCAGTAATGAGCTCCCCCAAAAGGGAACATATGAACAAAACGTAAGTGAATACGATGAGGCAAAATTCCATAAAATTGAATTAAAGACAGGAAAAGTGGTCAAAATTACCCACTAACAGGAGCAACTACTTCTACATGAATTTTGATAGCTCATTGCCTCCCTCATTCCTGAAATCTTCCATTGATGGAAATGATTTCCCCATCCCAGAGAACCTAACCTGGCTCCCCCACTATTGCTGCTCCTGGGAAATTCTCCTTATTGCTGGAAAAGGAAATCATTGACTATGATTTGAACAAGGGGTTTGGAAGAAAAGAGTATTTCATTTTCACATGGTCTTCCGTGTATTTGAAGAGTTACGTTCATTTTCCTTCTATCATTTATCTTCCCTTGCAGCCATGCAAAGCTGCTTCRTTCAGTCTTTCCTCCCAGGAAAAGGAAGAAAGATTTCCCTCACTTCTAACCATTCCTGTTGCTCTCCTTAGGATCACGGCAATGAGATCACAGGCTTTTTTTGAAGGACGTTGACTATAACTGAACGCAGAACTCCAGCTGAGAGCCTCGCAGTGTGAACAGAGCAGATGGAAATCCTCGTGTGCCTTCCAACCTGCACTGCTGCTTACACAGCCCCGTGTTGTGGCTCCTCTTTTGCTAGAGCCTGACTTCACRGACTCCTGCTCCTTGCTACTACAACTGCAGGCTCTTTTCTGAGAAGCTGACAGGTAAGGTAAGAAACAGCCAGCACCTCAGCCTGTGTTTGTTCGGGAGATCCATCCTGCCTAGGGGTAATTCTTTGTGCTTGTCCCTATTCTTTATCTATTTATTTATTTTTCCAGACCACTTCTTCATTTCTCAAGATCATTTTTAATTCTAAACCTGTCACACAGTTCATCTGCAGTCCCTCTGTTTTCACATCATCTTCTATGATGATCATCTACTTAATAAATACATTTGTTTATTCAGCTCCTCAGTAAAAACATCAAGCAGAAATGGAAACTGAACAGATTCCTGTGGAATCCCTCCCAAAGATGCCTGCATTGAAATAAAGAACTACTGATGAACTTGCATCTGGATATAGTTGTCCAACCAAAGTTTTGCTCCCTCCTGGAATGGTTTTAATCACAGGTGAAGTTTATCAGGCCAAGGGGATATGAAAACACCATACCCTTCCAAATATTGTTTAACCTATTTGCTAGTATAAGCTGAAATCACACCTTGTGATCATTAGTGTTAATGAGGATAAATAGGTGATCACAGTTATCTTCTGAGTTAAGCCTGATACAAAAAAAAATAAAGTTTGTTCCGCTTTCTTGACTTTATAGCTTTCTTTCCCTTTCCATTCCTTTTTTGGATGCCGTCTTATTACTAATGAACTTGTTACCCTTATGTCTCTTGACTTTATGTCTAATTTTGGATCAAGGAAAACAAACAAAAAAAAAACCCCACCAGAACTCTGCACAGATTCTGTTTCCTGCATGAACAGGCTGCTTAGATTCTGAGTGTCATAAGTGATCTGACTTGTTTTKTTTTTACGCTCTTTTAGCATATATTATCAATGACCATGGTGTAAACAGTTTACGCTTTTTACACTTGAAGTGAAACAATATATACTTTCATCATTAAAAACTTTTCYTTGGGAAATTGCCAGATGCCCACGCAAAATTGCTCATGTCTACTTAGCTACTAGTTATCTAAGTTTGTTGAAATCTCTGCACTTTTAGTCCATTACTTTTTTTCCCCTTAATTTCTTTGCGATGATTCCATGATCTCATGATTCCAAGATTCCTCTTACACATCATGTCTTTCACCTTCGCACTCTCAAGCAATTCTTTTTTACTGCTTAGCCTAAAATCTAGAGATCCCTTCTGTTGGATTCCTTTCTCTACTTTTACAAAAAAACATCCCCAGTAATTCCAAGCAGGTGCTGGACAGCCTGCATCCTGCTGCATTCTCTTACCAGTCAGTGACTGTATTGTTAAGACCTCCCATTCATAAAAAAAAAAAATCCTTTGGCTGATTCTGCTATTTGTGCACAAAGAGTCTCAGAACACCCTTGTTTGATGCAATAACCACCATGAGAGAAGTCGTAGTCATGCCCCTTTCTACCTTCTTGGAGATTGTAACCTCCTCCACATTCCAGATCTCACAGCACGCATATGTATCTTGATGCAGCATGTCTCATTCTGTCCATTCCCTGAGCAAGCCAATGCTTTATTTATTAGCACTCTCTTCATGCGCTCAGCTCAGCACAATTTGTGAGTATACCAGTGAAAACAGAGCTTGTCATTGGGTTAAAAATTTTCCTAGTGCCATTAAGAAGATGCACTTGTTGGAAAGACGGAGGACTTGGGCCACTGAGGAGGAACTAGAGGATGTTTTCTGGAGGTGAAGGAAGCTCCCAGAAGCACAGAACAGAACAGAGAGAGAGCAGCATGACAGCAGTTCACACCACTCATCCTGAGGCAGGAGCTAAAATAGGAGTGGATAAGTGCTCTGTGAGATCTGGGAAACCAAAAGTGACTGTGATTATTGCACACTGCAGCAGGGAAAGGCAGAAACATTTATTTATGTAGAAAGAAYGAAAAAAGAGAAAGAAAGAAAGAAATATCTAAAAAGGGGAACATTTTCTACTACCTACAGTTGGAGAAGTTTTGGGGACATGGCTTATGCCAAATGTCTTCCAATGCTTGATGCATCAGCAGGATTCTGGCAGGTGTCCTTAGGSATACAGAGCCCGTGCTTGCGCATGTTCTGCACCTCCTTTGGAAGAGACCACTTCTGAGGATGGCTCTTTGGGCTGTGTTTGGCTCCCACAGTGTTTCACAGGAAAGCCAAAACAATGATGGTGGTGAAAGTAGTAAAGTCATAGACAATATTTTCAGCTGAGAAAAACAGAATAACATCATGACCAGAAGTTCTGAGCATCCAGTGCCAGTGCTTCCGGGCTTTACCTRAAAAATAAAGAAAAAAAAGAAGGAAATGTTGTTTAAACAGAAGCAGAACACCTGGGAGAAACATTAGGCAGGGTGCAGGTAGGTCGCAGCAAGGCCAAACCTGACACAAATGCCTCAGCAGACGAGAAAGGTGAGGAATTCTCTGGCGTGGCGGCTYTCCCTGTCTGCTCCGGCTGCCCGCGTGGACCCTCCGGATGCTCCTGCCGGAGTGTCCCCAGGCTGTGGATGAGGGGCTTGCTGGAGCTAGAGCCTCGTGCTGGCAGCTCCTCCACAGCTGCAGCTGCTGGCGGAGCAGCTGGATGTGACTGGGAAGGCTTTGGTTGGAGCGCACTTCTGCTCCAGCCTGTGCCAAACTGGACACCAATAATTTGCACAGAGTGGCTTGCAAGTGCACATAGCCCAGGCCAAACTCTCACTGCTCTCTCACGGGGCAGGAGGCATCAGCCTGAAGTTAGGGGTGAAAAACAACTGTATTCGATAGAAAGCTGTGGCCGTGTTGGCTGCCCGTAAGCCATTATCTGAAATAACTTAGTCAACCATCTGTAAGGATTGGGAGCTTATTTTTACTGCTACAAGTATCTGATTTAAAATCAAACAGAAAGTGGGGGATGATTTATAGTTGCAAATACATTTTATATACCGCAAAAAAATGTGCAGAGCAAAATCCAGAAGTGCGTTTTTCATAAGTCGATCTGATAAAACAAAGCAATCCGGCTTCAGGCAAAACTATTGCCACGAGCTCAAGTACACATTAGGCAAAGTACAAGCTACACTTATTCTGCAGTTTTCTCTAAGTAGTCACAACTGAGCTATGTTGGTAGCAAGGTCCAGGCCAGGTAGACGTTTGGTGATGAGAACAGGGTGCACAGAAAGCACTGAGGTACAGCACATTTCCTTGCCCCCCAAAGATGGTGTCATCATTGCCAGGAAGTATTTTGTTTAAAGGAACCAAGTTGGTGATTCCAAAGGCACCACAAAAAATGTGCTTAAAAGGATACCTGAAAGGCAGCCGAGTGACTGAAAATCTAAGAGCAGGGCCAGGGGTGTTTTATATTGGCCTTAAATAAACAGTGACATTGGGGGAGGTTAAATATGGTAACATCTGCCAAAAATATTGTTCAAGCAAAAGAGCCTGTGTCGGTAGCAGAAGAAATACCACCCCCTTCCCTCCTTCCCTGGCATGAAGCAAGTTTAGGATTGTTTATGTTGGCTATATAAACTTTGTTGCTCGTAGCAAATTACTCTCAGTTCCTGAAATAGCCTCATTTGTAGATATGAGAATAAAAAAAGGTTACCCAGCTTAAGCAAATGCATTTCAGTGTGGCTGATTTCTCATTTATGGGACATTATGGTTAAGCTGACGTACGGATATGGGTGTGTGTCTGACCCAGACCTAGCCCTGAATCAGTCATTTTTCAAGCAATGCCACAGGAGGATGAGAAATTGGAGCACAGTATAAGCAAAACAAAAAAGTTCACCACCAGCCTGAGAATATGAGACCAGTGGAGTAGGATTTGTCCCTCAACTGAGTAAACACAGTAGCTGCACTTTACAGCTCTGACTTCAAGAGGTCATTCCTGCCTGAGAAAGTACCAGCATGCGCTTAATGTCCACTGAAAACCACTGCAATCTGAGCCCTAGCCAGCCCAAGAAGCAGGTCACTGAGGAAAAATATCTTCAAAACACACCARGATTTACATGCACAAAGACAGCACTCGTGTGTCTACAGAACCRCAAAGGGCAGAAAAGGTACAAAGAGTTTGACTAACACAAGTGCATTTGAGCTGTATGTAATGACTGTAAACATGCTTCTTAAATAAAGAAAAATTGAACAAACCACATCTTTTTCTTCCTTTTTCTTTTTTTTTCCTCCTGTCTGGGAACTAGTAGTGCAGTTGAGGCAGCCCCTGCATGTGCCTGAGGCAGCCGTTCTCTGCAGTGGGAGCATTACATCTAACCCAACAGGGACATCCCCATTCAGCTCTCTTCTGAATGCTGTTGTAAGCCTAATGTTAGTTTAATGATTCAAGCTGCACTTTATGAATATAATATGAAAGGGCTGGAAAAGAACGATTCGTCTGTGAGATTCATTACTATCAGATAAAACTATGATATTTATGCTGTGCATGACACTAAAGAAAAGTACTCTACTGGGCATAGSCCAATGCTGGCAAGAATCATGAAAAGAGAGTCTTAATTTTTGGAATCCCCTGTGAAACTCTGAAGAAATTTCTCATTCTGGTATCATAATAAGAAATACAAATATTTAAATTTTATTCCTTTAAAGGCTGCCTACCGGCATTCAGTCAATAAGGCCTTTTATTTTTTTTTTCTTTTTTATCCCCAAAGCATTTTATTCAAGTCACACCTTAGAAATGAACAACGAGAACACAAAATCTAAACTTCTACATTAAATTGCACAGGGACTGTGCAGCCTAAGTGCATGTGAATCTTTTCGCTCCCTGATCAGTCTGGTTATATTTTTCCATTGTTCTGACTTAGGGATATGAAGGAAGAAAACAGTATTTACAGTGTAAAGCAAATTCCACTTGCCATACTTTGTGTTTGCAGATATGACTCTATGAAAAAATCACAGATTGAATTCTGTGTTCTTGTAAATATGTATCGTTATGTGTCAAGTGTTTTTCATGCTGAGAGAATATAAAGATCTGAGCTTGATGATCAGTCTAATCACTTCCTTCATTATCCCTTGCAGTCCAATAGAAAATTGCTGCTTCACCTCTCCCTTGGACAATCCTCATTCTGGCAGCCGGGTTTCCAGGGCTGGTGTTTCCACACCTCYGCCTCCCTGGCCGAGCTCTTGTGCTGGGCTCCCATGTGTTTGCTTCTGAGCCCAGCAACAGAATCCCACTGCTTTGCAAAGCTCACAAGCTTCTAACATTTAAAAATACTTGTAATGGGGTTTTTCTCAATGTAGCCAGTACATCCTGTGATGTAGATCCTTTTAGCACCTCTTTCTGGCTGATTCACATAAGAAAATGCAAGTAACAAAATGAGTTGGCAAGACTTGGCCTGAAATGCAACCTCCAGCAACAGCTCTCTGAGTCAAACATGACCTGAGGACTGCTCAGGAAGAGGCAG